AACTTCTCTAGAGTGCAAGAGTTTTGCAGAAATCTGGCTAATGAGACCAGAGCACAGGAAATGTGTTCAGGTTTTTCTTTTTACCTGAAAAGAAATGCAGAACAAATAATTAAAAAAAAAAAAAGGCGGAGGCAACATTCACTGGTGATGAAGACTCTCACACTCATTCACGCTCTCATTTTTTGTGCATACGTGTCAGAGGAGCAATAACACAAAACACTGTACTGTATATTGAACATGAGGATCAGAAAGCTACAAAACTAATAGACTTAACTTCAGCGCTATACAGCCAAATAGATATCACTGCATTTGTTTATAGGGTTTTCCTTCTCAGGTGTTATATAATTACTGACATCACACACAATTCAAGATCAGTAAAATCCTTTTTTTACAGCATGGCAACCGTCTCGCTCTTTGTAGTGTTCTTAGAATGAATTGTAGCCATGGCCCGTCTCTTTTACATTATTTTATCTGTGCTCTGCACTCCCGCCTCAGCACTGGACTCTTTTTGAGAGTGAAAAAGAGACTGAAACCCCCCATTAAAATGTTTGCAGCATCAAGTACTCAGCAGCCTGGGGGAATTTATACTGTCCTTTAGGAAAACTAGATCTTGCAGGATACAATGACTTCAACTCCAGTGTTAAAGGGAGGTGTGTAGCAACTGGCAGGAGGTGAGATGAACACAGCTAAATGATTCCTAATTTTCCATAGTGCCTTGCTTTTCTTAATGTATATGATAATGGTACACACACACTCTCTCTCTCTCTCTCTCCTGTTTTTGTAATGTACCCTTGTCTCCTCTAAATCCCAGCCCCGGCTTGTTTCCTCAATGCACACACAGGCAATAATTCATTTAATTTAAAGGAAGGTGGGAATATACTGAAATACCTCAAAGCTGATAACAGGGTGCTAATATTACCTTTAGTCTTTCTCTGCTCCCTTTAGTGCAGTGGGGTCCAAATTTTTGGCAGACATGTTACCAGCCCCACACCCTCCCTGAGTGCCATTCCCATCCTCTTCCCCTGCTAGATCAGCTGCTTTGCTTTCTTCTCCCTGTCCAGTAATCTTCATTTGATTAATTGCTTTGTTTTCTGTTCCCTGTCTTATCTGCCCACTGTGTTGCCTATCCCTTCTCTGGCTGCCCATGCCACTTGTGGCAAGTGATACAGGTTGCCCTTCCTCTAGTGTCTGTAACTTTTGTTCATGGCATTGTGTCCTACACCTTGCTGTTAACTCTGGGAGGTGTAGATCCTATTTGCTTTCTAAAATATCTAACATATTTTGTGCTCTTTAATCAATGCTTAGCACCAATAGCAAACCTTGGGTTTTTAAGTGCTTTGATAGTAAAAACTCAACATTGATCTAATTTAGCACCTCATGACATGAATGGGAAAATATCCATTATGTGAATGGGATTAGAGTTAGGCCAATGATAAGCACTTTAGGACATCCCAGCCCAAGGTCTGGCAGGTTTATTATTTAAATATTTATACTTTTTATTAACAATTAAGAGACGCATTTTGTAGGGGCAGACAAAGCAACTATTCCTATCAGCTGGCACTTGCTTTGCTTGGAATCTGCTCTGTAATTCCTTGCTTCTATTAATTACATTCACGACTGAATGAGAATAGTCTCCCCACTCACCTTCATTACAGCAAGTGGAAGGATTAGGAGATATGTCATGCTTGCTAATGCACAGCAAGCTACATTTTCCTAAGGCACTCATGCCAAGCCAAGGGCTTCATCCTCAGGCAAGGACTGCCTCCTCAGGACTGGAGCTCGTGCTGTGCCGTACACACTACTATATTTATTCCCCAATCACCAAACACTCAAAAGAATAGCCCCACAATCTCCCCTCTGGGTTGCTAGTTAGGACAACACCTACTGTAAGAATGAATTTGTGTTGCATTTGATTTTCGGTCATTTTCTACCGAGCTTTTTCTTTGCCCGGGGAAAGTGAAAGCAAAGAGATAAAGAAGCCCTTCTTTAAGTGTTTGGACTGGGAGGCAGGTCATTAGCTGCTCCCTCCTGTTAAACCTTTAGTTAAGGTACTGCAAGTTACAGTGCATGAGAACAAAAGCTGCTACGGGCTCTCAGCAGTGGGAGTAACAGAGGAATGCTTATATCTACGGTATCCTATTGATTTGTTTGACCTTTCCTTTTGCAAATACAGTACAGACAAAAACTTAAGTTTTGCCCACAGTACTTCTATCTGTGGGGTGAAGGAAATGTGTTTCAATGGTAAAATCAGACAGAGTAAAGGAAAATACAAATTACTAAGTGTGCACGTGCATTCCACAAGGCAGCACTTAGAGCTGACAGAGCAAGCCTTGAACAGGAAAACGAAAAGCCAGCTGCATGTAGGAAGAATGCACTTGAGTGTGTGTGTGTGTGTGTGTGTGTGTGTGTACACACTCCAGTGAATTCATGTACATGCATTCATATCCACACAAACAGGATGAGGAGAACTTTTTCATTTCCATACATTGTGAGATGAAGTAGGTAGAAAACTGAGCATTACCTTACCTTTTTAGCACACAAAATTTAGTAAGCCAGGAAAATTGTTCACTTTGTTTCCCCATTCTCTATATCTAGGTTTTTTATCATCCCCCTTCCCTCCCCACTTTGTGTTGCACCTAAATTTTCTGGACAGGACTAACAAAACTCCTTGTATAACCAAGTGACATCAGCACTTGCTTGAACAATCATCACAGGCAAATTTGGATGTTACAAAGTGCTTTGACAACAGTAAAAAGCACCTTACACTGAATTCTGAATCAACTAGGACCAAGACAGCAATTTTACTTGGAGGGAAAAGAATCTCTTTGGGCCTTATGCATTTCCACTGGTGCTTTGGTTCTTTTTCTAAACAGGGTTTGAACTCTTTGAACTGGATTTAAGTAACATGTTGGTAACAATCTTACAGTCTGTATTGTTTTTACTGGTCCCTAGTTGATATCGAATAGTATCTTAATCACAATATTGCTACAGCTTCCTCCTCCCTACATCGATGCTGGCAAACCTAGCACACTGTTTCTTTCTTCTTTTTTTTTTTTGATTGGGTGCTTTGGCATGCTATTATAATTCATACCCTAATCAGTACTGTGTTTAAACCCAGTTTCCGAACAAAGTCAAAATCTAATGAAAATGGGGCCTAAAAACAATGGATAGCTTAGATTCCTATGTTGTCAAATTCTGCAGAAAGAGGGCAATCAAATAGGATAGGCAGTCTCTAAATTAAATCAAGCCACCCTTTGGTCCTGGACACACATTTACACCTGCATAATTAATCCTGACACCAGCATAGAAAAAGAAAAGGGCAGGTACATGAAGTATGAACCTGCACCAGTTTAACTCAATCAGATTTGGTTTAAAGCTAGCCCTGGGAAAAAAAAACAGGTAATTGACACTTGGGTAAGTTTACAACTGGAGGTGTCAAGTGTCATTTACACCTGGAGGGGTTGTGTGTCTTCAGTTAACCCCGGGGGTATCTGTTTGAACAAGGCAAACTGCTTATTATCTGTGCTGTAATAATGCCCACAATGTGCAGCTACTCTAGGAAAGCTGCTCCTCTCTCTCTTGCACATTCCATGTAATTTACATCCGTGAACAAAACTGAACAAATCACTTAAGTGTAATCTGCCAAGGATGCAGGCCCTTAATTTTGTACTGTGTACATAAAAATATACCATCACCATGCTAGATTATTTTAATATGAATAGTTCTAAAAATGCCCTAATTTTTTGTAAATAAAATTATTTTTGGTGAAAAGCTCAGTGGTACAGCATATAGAGTAATGCAGGGAAACAAAATCAAATGACATTCTTAGCTAAAGCAGAGTCTTCTGAGGACAGACTATTAAGTGTGTCAAACTGCAGGATATTTTTTGGACGTTGCTAGTATGTTAGGACATACTGAACACGTGTCACTTATAATCCTGCCCTGGTTTTAAAATCACAGTTCCAGAGGCAAAAGTCCAGAGTACTAGTTCTTTGTTCTGTGCACTCACATACACGGCTCCTCTTCCCACCAAGCTGCCACTCCTCATTTGTTAAAGAGGTTACAGTAAGTTATAATTTGTAGCTGCTGCCCTGTCAACTAATTAAATGTAATAAAAAGCTTGCAGTGAATTTAATACTACCATGGTGTAATTAAAGCTGTCTTGAATACATAGTGTGTATATTAGAGGTTCAGTGCATGTCCTCCACCTTTAATGACCTAATTTCTCAGGTTAAGCTACTGTATCTTTCACATGATTAGACAACAAGTACCATCAAGAAGTTTTGGAGCAGAGTGCACATCTTGGCCAATCCAGTCTAATGCATTTTTAAAGGCACATCAAAAATAGCTTGAGGGGGAAAGAGGAAGAATGAAGGGGCTGGTCGCTTCAGTTCCTCCATCTTCCATTAGGAGGCACCACTACTCAAACTTTTCCCCTCCATGAGACTCCCACCGCTCTCACCCTTTATTTTCCTTTTTTTAAGAAAAAATAAAATTTTAAAGCCACGACTAACCCCATCTGTCAGTCAGAGGGGCATCCTGGGTAAAGGGGCACCATGTGCAACTGCCCTGTTTGCATGTCCCTAGGACTGGCTCTAATAGTCTATAATCAGAACAGTTGCCTCAGAACATTTGAATATCTCAACATGGGGAGTAAGGAAAGGCTGTTACAAAGGCCAAAGTGGAGTATAAGCAACAATAGAAGGGATACAACAGATGATATTCCAGCACTTGGAGGACCCGGTTCCTTATTCTGTCAAGTACTGGGGAAGGCAAACACATTAAGGGTAAAGAATCTCACAGTAGCCAGCTTTTAGATCAGCCAAAATGTTGATAATTATAGCTCCAGGTAGTTGGTTGTTGCACCCACTAGATTCCTCACATTCCAGAACCTTTCCCAATTGTTCTCCACATGGCCCACCAATACATACTATAAAATCAAATAGCCCCTGAAATAAAGGCATCATTCAGTGAACAAAAATATAGCCTAAGAGAATCAATTAAAATGATGAAAATCTTTAATTTTTATTTAAGTATAATTGTACGGACACGTGTATATACAAATACAGATCTTATGGGTTGTTTTTTGTTGTTGTTGTAGTTCTGCTTTTTTGTTTTTTGTTTTTTACATTTTTTTTAGGTTCATATAATGTCAGCATTTCAAAACCAGCACTCAATGAATAAGTGCAAAGAAACTGCAAAGCAGGGCAGTACACGCACAGGACCACACTGAGCCGGACTTTCATACCCAGATGCACACACAATGAGTGGCTTCAATGGGGTGTCAAGAGTAAGCATGGAAAGCGGATTTCGCAGACTCATGGGTAACCTCCAACATGCCAGCATCTATTAAACTGTACAGACAATGGCAGCAAGCCTATTGTAGGGAGATTTGTCTCACATCCGAGAAGCTTGGGGGCGAATGCATGGGAAAAACTCAGTGATGCCAAACCAGAAACAGATCTGCCCATTCACTGCTCCAAATTATAAAAAAAAAAAGAGGGGGAGAGCAGGGGGGTGGGGGGAGGGAGAAGGGTGGGGAGTTGTAAATAAAACTGGTCAGTACAAAATCTAAGCATAATGAATGGAGGGGAGGAGTTACATTCTTTTCTACATTTCTGGAACTGACAGAACCATTGCTCTCATCAGGCAATAGGTAAAGTTCAGTTTCTAAGAAAAAAAAAAATCAACAGGTACAAATACAATGTCTTTCCTTTCACAATTCCATAGGAAAGGAAATAATCCACATTTGAACACTCCCAGAGTTGTTTCTTGATGTTTTGGAATTAAGTCCATGTGCATGTCACACATGATACTGGCAAAAATCAATTCTGAAAAAAAAAAACTATCCAGGAAAAAAAACCAACCAGAAGGAAAACAGAAAACAAAAAAGGTAAAAAAAAAAAAAAAAAAAAAAAAAAAAAAAAAAAAAAGAAAAGAAAACGAAATGAGAGAGTTGTTAAATCCCCACAGCCTTTTAGAAACCAACTTGCTTAAAAAAACAAACACAAACAAACAAACAAACAAAACCCCCATAACAAACATAAAAAACCCACAGAGCTCCAACATCAGACCTTTAAACACTGAGGACAAAACATTGATCATCAAAAGTCATGTTGTTCAAGGTCCTGACATGGTGAAGTCTTGGGATCAGATGAACAATTTTCACAGATGAGTCCTGTATGCTGCAGTGTCATGGCCACTTGTAACTCAGTTCTCAGCCATGATCACACTTGATGCTTCAAAGCTCTGTCTTATAATCAACACATGGTTTTAATATCCTGAAAGTCTATTGTTCTCACTTACAAAAGACATAAGAATCAAATTAATACTTTATTATCAAACACTATATACAACAGAGGTTGCTAATAATACAGAATTTAAAGAACATAGCTTTTTTATGTTTTACTTGTCTTTCCTTCGCCATCCAAGAAAGTACAGTACAAAACAATATTCTAAACTAACACGAACTGTTACCTTGTCTATTAAAGGATACACAGTATCCACTAAACAGACTGATCCATATTTCCCTGCTTCATGTTGCAAAGCCCTTGGCAACCAGGAGTGCAGCTCATAGGGGTGAACTATCTGGACTGAGGGACTGCTGTAACAGAATTATTCCCTCAGACATCTGCGGGGATGTGTTTGTGGGGAGGAAATCTGCATAAAACTTGCACCAACATCCTCCAAAGCTTCCAGAGTTTTGTAACTCAACACCAAACAGAGATTCAATGATTTATAGCACTTGCTTAACTTGCTATGACTGGGATTGCCGGATGCCATCAAGTATTCAAGCTGATGTTTGGTAAGCTTGCTACGCACAGTTATATTATTCTATGCAGTGTAGCAATCTATTAGCTGTAGTAGTTTTGCTGTGATTCATTTAGTTAGCGGAGGCAATGCAATAAAGCAAAGAGTTGAATAAGTGAATAAAAGATTAGTGAATAAAAGTTTGAGGTTGATAGATATGCAGCTGTGAGTTCATTACCGTTTATAGAGAACTGATGGAAAACCACCAAAGCTACCATTTCTAAAATAAAATTAGCATTATTAATATAACTATGATTGTGAGCTGTAGGGTGGTAATCTAGCATGCAATATTATCTTTACTCTGCCTAAAAATCCATTTAATAAGGGGTGCTTTAAGCCTCCAGGCCACCTTCCCCAAAGCTCTGTAATATTTCGCTGAAGAAAGTACTAGCGCTTGCCCCAAATATATGTGATAAAGAAATTTATTGACTATATCAAACAATGTCTTGATCATATATTGTAACAAACATGGTTGATTTTCCTCACTGCCTAGACTTTGGCTCTTGGTTGTATGTGCTTGATATTAGTAGAAATTTCCTCAGTCTCATCTTAAAAGCAGAGCCTGCATTTAATATCCATACTCCATGGTATCAGGCAAGCCCAGATTTTAGCTTAACAAGGGTAAAACTTCCCTGTGTACCTTAAACTCATTTTCCCCCAGAAACCTCAAGGAACCAGCTTTTCTTTTCTTTCTTTTTCTTAATTATATTCACAAAATGCTGTCCATTAATTATACCAGTTCGTTTTTAAACTATACTTTATCTTTGAAACAAACACAGAAAAACCTTTGTGTTGTTGGAAAGTGCTCGTTTTTTTCACATTTAACATAATAATCTCTTTTTTTTTTTCCTGCTTGAAAGGTTTTGTTTCAGTGTTGGTGACATTTCCCTGACTACGTTCCAGAGTTCGAAGTCCACGGCAGTCTAGCCAATAGAAACCCCAAGGCTTGCATTTCCTGGCACATGACTTTTTCAAGTCCTATCTTGGCCATGCTCAGGTTCTTTAAACATTCCATCAACAAGACACTCCCCATATTCCTAATTGCATCAAAGGTTACCACTTCTCTCACATGTTTAAATAGGACAAGCATATATACTCACTCTCAGCATAAAGTATATCTAAATAATGTATTTTCTATTCTAGTGGATTTTTAAAAAAATATTTTGTTAAGTCTTTGGGAGCCCATCTAGTTTATCTCCTGCTGATAAACACGTTTCCTCTACTCTTCAAACTGTGTTGGAAAGGGGGAAAAAAATCAACTCTTGAATTTGTATTCCACACACTTCCTTTCTTCCCCCCACCAAGCAATGCCGATTGACTGTCCTGGCTTCTTCTACTTGTGTTTTATTCTCAGGGTTGTTGAACTTGCAGGGGAGACAAATCAAGAGTACACTGGAGAGCCAGTGTCCCAAACATGTTTCCTCTGGCCACTGATGTCCTCTCTTTAGTACGTATTGTCACCCAGAGCAGCATCCAAGGCTATCAGCTACTAAGTCAGCCCCGGGGAAGGTCACTTTATTCACAAAAAATGCCTCTTTGCATTTCAAGAAAAAAAATTGTAGCACCATGGTGATCTGCTTTGAAAGAAAATAATCTGGTGTGCACTATCCACTGAAACAGAAGTAACCGAGGCACTATCACCCTCAGTGAAGTTTCCTAAATCTGACCTTGCTTGCTGTGTGCTAACATTCCTAAATATTCATCCCCCCTCCCCCTGCAAAAAACAGAGCTTCTATTGTGGGAGAACAAGCTTTTCTACCAAGGATGATTCAAGCCAGTCCTATAAGAAACAGTGTCTTTTCCTTTTCAGTTTGAAACTCCTGGAGGAAATGGTGTTATATTGTATCTGTTCTTAATATCTCCCCTCCAGTCCTGACATGATGACATGATGCCTTGCATGATCATCTTACAGAACTGAATGAGAAGGCATAAATATTGTATCGGAGATTAAAACCCTCCCGGGCTTCCACTCAATTTCCTTATCCTTCACTGACTGCATCTGCCACTATTCTTCCTTGTCCACATACAGATAACACAGTGAGCTAACGGTGGTGACTTCTTATAGGAGAATGCAGAGGAAAATAAGAATCACTAGTGTCACTATTATAATTTGGCATTTTCATTTGGAGTCCTTTCATTTTTTGGAGGGGTTGAGGAAAGTCACAGGGGAGGGTTGGGTGTTGAAATTAATTATTCCCCTCAAATTCTTGCTCATAGTTCAGGCTGAAAAGAAAAAAACCAAACCAAACCAAAAAAAATTGACATCTGCAAAACCAATATAAAGTCCCTTTCTTGGGATAAGCAGTTAGGTGGATCTTTGATGTTCCAAGACCCTGATGTTTTCTGTGACAGGTTACTGGAATATACTGTGCTATAATATCAAAAGCATCGCCAAGAGGAATAGTAGGGTTGCCAAAAGCAGGCTGGATATCCTTGGTGTCTGTGCTGCGTTATCACTACGAGATGGCTCGGCTGACTCATGTACGGTATCATCTGTTCAAACAGAAAGCATACATTCCAGTGAGGTTTTGCATCTTTAATAAACTCCCTTTCAGCAGACTACTGCAAGTAGATTTCAGTATCCTCTGTGAAGCAAGACAACGGATCTCGTGCTGTCATTTACTTTCATGGCCATATATCATCTCATATAACGACTTGGACCTAAATCCTCCATTCCTTACACATTCTTTTTTTCTGGAGAAGCTCCCATAGAAGATAGTGGGAGTATTAAGGCATTGACAGACTAAAGAGTGTAAGGTTTCCCCTCAAAAACAATAAAACTCAAACTTGGTTGCCTAAAACTAAGAGCTAGGTTAATATTTAGGCAGCTAAATAAAAAGCCCTTGTTTTTCAAAAGGAATTGCAGGTGTTCAGCATATGAACAGCATATGAATATCAAGGCCCTTACTTAGCTCTGTGAATACCGATTTAGGCTCCTAAGTTTGAAATGTTGGTCTTTGAACCAAGTTATAGAGCCCATTCCATGTGTAAAACTTCCACTGCAGCATAAGGTATGCAGGGATTGTGACAACAGACTTTATAATTATTTTTCAGAAGTATGAAAGCAAACAACAACAAATGCTAATAATTTACAATTATTAATTCAAAAGAGAACATAGGCAACATTTGAAAAGTTTAATAAATCATTACTTACTGTCACTGTATATAAAAAAGTTAATATTCATATATGCTGCTAAAATTTAAAATAATGGAAAAGAACCAATTTCACCAGGAAAAAAATACATATTAATGGTAGAATATTTTCCTCTAATGTTAAGGTTTTACATTTTCGAGGTTGTACTAAAATCTGTTTGGCTATTTTTCATCAAAATTAATTTCCAATTAAAACCAAACAAAATAATTCATTAAAACAAACTTTAAACATCACATTAAAATTTACCTTTGTTTTAGCTTGTGGATCATGTTACCATTTCCATACAAGAGTTTCTCTAGTTCTGAAATTAACTAAATTTGGCTATTTTAAGAACAGCTAGCTTTGGATGTGAACTTTGTTTCAAGTAAATAAACTGAATAATTTATATCTTAATAAAATTAAGTTGTCTAGGAATGTGTATCGATAACAACATCAATGGAATTGAAAAAAAGTTCTAATTACTGAGCCCTCAACAATTTCCTTTACAAACCTCACTGTCAACAGTTCTGGCCTAATAAGATCTGTGAATCATCACTAAGGATAACAGGACTGCACTGGTGTATACAAAGGCAGAATTTGTTACTGGTGATTATACAAAAGCCAGTCTGAGTTTCAGATGCTTCTGCAAGTGTAGCACTAACAATTGGGAAAAGACAAAACAAAAACCTTTTTATATTTAAACAGAACGTATCTGGCATGGAAATCACTGAGACCTAATGGACGGTGGGACTCTATGACGTCATTTTAAAAAAGCTGCTTTTCAGAATAGAACTTCTTTTTCATGTAACATTAAGGGGCTCTTTTTCAAAGCTACATCTGCCCCTTTTGACAAGGTGATCCCAAGGTCTCTGCACTTGTTTAATACAACAGTCTTTTCATCCATGCCTCTCAAAGCACTTTACAAATATTATTTTAATTGGAATTGTGCAGTTAAAATCCTGAACAATCCTAAATGTTTGCCAGGGACCTGGGGAAGATTTTAGTTTATATTAATAAAAAAAGCAAAGGAGGACAGAGAACTAGAACTTCCCTACCAAAAACTGTCATGGCAATGGAAATAAACTACATTTTATGTCAGTCTGAATTTTGAATTTTCTGGATTTCATTATTAAGTTACATCCTCAGGGTGAATCCTGTCCTCAGTTTGCAGAGAGGAAAATTCATAGGAGGGAACAATTTACCATAAGCTTCCTTTTTTTTTTTTAATTTGATAGTTTATATGGCTTCTGAACTCTACAAATTCAAAATTTTGAATTTAAGAAGTAATGTGTACTGATCAGTTTCCTGGCCTTTCCTGACTCAGAACAAGGAATGGTTGAAACTGGAAGATCACCACACAGAACTCCATTTTTAAGAGAGTAATTATTGAACATAACAGCGGGTGATGAGATGATGTGCCTCTGACCTGTCCCAAACCTTGCATCTCTTTTGAGAGAAAATGATGGCAGACAGGATGAGAACACACACGAGAGACGAATACATTCCAATAGGTAGATTAGTACACAGAGAAAGTTGCATGCAACATTATTCTGTGATACTGTCCAATGCCTTGCATCCTAATAAAAATGAAGCACGTTAGCAAACTGTTAGATCTGGGAATGGTTAATTATCTACTTATGTTTACTCAAATAATCTTATAAATATACAGTGCTCTTAGGGATGAGAACTTTTTAGTAGCTGATATACTCCCAAACACAAACTTTTTATTAAGCCTACACATCATCATTCTAGCACCATTCGACTTCATCTCAGTCTGCGGGATGCGTATCAGTTGGTTTCGTTTCCCCATTTTGCCTGCTGCTTTCTAATGACATACTTCTCTTATAGTGTGGGAGGGTAGTGGTAGCTGGGTAGCCCCTTTTAAAAACAAGCTCCATCTTTAACTGAAAGTATTTATGTTATTGGTTTGATTCAAAGTAAAAGTATTTTGTTATAAAAGATTAACAAGGGAAACGTTAATTAGTGCTCGCCATATCTCATACCATGAATGAAAACATGGAATGTTTAGAGTCAAGTTATAAGTAGTCAGGGAATTATTATCCTAATTGTATTCTCTGGAAGAAGAATGCAGTAATAATAGAAGTACACATTTATTGAAATTACAAATACTTCACTTGGACTTAGAATGCATTTAAATTATTATTAGGGAACATCAAAATATTTTAGAAATTCCCAACTATCCCCTTGAGTGAAAATAATGAAAATAGTATATGTCCAGAGATACACATTTCAGACTGATAAAGCTGTCAAATTTATTTTGCTGATTAATAATATATTATAGTTAAGAGTATCAGCACACATCTCAGTATAAAAAAAAGAGTTAAAAGAATTAATTCATTGCTTCATACCAAAGGAAAAACCCTTTTAAGTAACTTAAGAAACTGACATTCATATAAGAGAGGCTCCCTTTGGTATACATTAAACAGTGTGTGTGTGTGCATGCGCATGCGCACGTGTACAAGAAAGAGAGAGAGATTTTTTGTTAAATTTCATTTCAACTAGCAGTGTATGAAGTATCAACACTCTGAACGCTTATGCATATTTATAAATATGTGTGTACACACACACACACACACACACACACGTATACCCACCCACACCAGAACCCTTATTCTTCATAGGTTTAATATTTTTAGCCCCCTGAAAAGACAAGGGATTGCAAACAACCTGGTGTATGTACAGACATACCAAACAGCAGTGTGGGACTGCTGAGTTGTTCTAGCTACGTGCTGTGGCTTTTATTTCAGGGGGCACTGGTTCTCCAATTAGATGTGCTGGGTAGCTGATGTGCTCCAGATGAGCACCTCTGAAGTAAAGCACAGCAAACAGCTGAACAGTTCCTCCTTAATTCAGCAACCTCTTAAGAATGAAGTGGGTTATGAACTATCCTGATAAGAAATGGGTGTGCACATGCGCATGTGTGCACATCTATATCTATAGAACCCAGTATAGAACACGTATACCTATTCTTCTTCTCGTGTCCTGTCTGAGGCTATTGATGACAAGTATTTAGCAGAATTCGCAGATTCATTAGAAACTGACAGGGCTGTGACATGAGTCTGCTATGACCATTACTGTATACGTAGATGTACACAGAATTTCTGCATATAAATTACACAGTGGAACCTGGATTTTTTCTTATCAGGATGGCATCTGTATCCATAGTTATACAGACAGACAAATAGATAGACAGATCTATATCTAGATATAGAAAGATATAGATACAAACATATGCCCTGATTAATCACAGATTTAAAAATGTTTAATTTTAATCTCATGAGCACCCTTATTGAAGTCAATGGGATAACTTGTGCTTAAAATTAAGCATGTCTTAAATCTGTGCCGATTCGAGTCAAACTCATGCATATAAATGTAGCTTCCTCTCCCTTTCCCTCCCCCTGCCCCCCCCAACACACACATGGTTACTGTTAACTTGGAGTAACTGTTGGCAGCGTTCTTGGGGAAGGAAGGAAGAATTTGGTAGAATAAGCATGACTCCTTTAGGATAGCATTGATTCAAAGAGAAGACTTGATATTTTAGGAAATGTTTACTCTTTTAAATGGACCAGAAGGTGACATGGACCAGAAGGGGACATAAGTCTCTGTAAAAATTTGATGAGAAAATGTATCATAATTGTGCTTTGCCTAACCAGGTATACAAATGATTTTTTTTTTTTTTAAGGAAGATACTAACTTTTACCAGCTGTGTGCCTGAGCCATGCATTACTATTAAATAAGCAATGACCCTATTATTTTTTAATATTCATACGAACGCATGAAACAAAAATGCACGTTTACTCTCCTCCTCCAACGTGCTGGGGTCGTGTAAGGGAAGACGCAATAACTTCTGAACACACCACTGGAGGTTTTAAAAAGGGGTTCTACATTTAATTAAACCAAATGTCATAAAAGAGCAGCCATTTTATCTCCCATGCATTAGACGAGGATACTGGAGGAATGAGGTATACCATAAGCAATATTAGCACTGGTAGAAATGAGACAAAGCAGAGCAATTATACCATGCAAAGCATGCAGAGAGAAACAGAGGCAAAGAAGTACTGAAGCACCAAAGGGAAAGACGCATTTGTTAAAAGAGATTCTCTAAGCATACTAACCTGCTGGTTCTAATGAATTTTCTACTTTGTCGTTAACATCGAAAACACGATCATGAACACCTATAGTTTTCATACAGCTGTCTATAACAAAAATAGAGATAACAGCCAAATATGTTAGTGAGACACCCTTAAACTCCCCACTTTCCTTTTTTTCTCTCTCTCTGTTTTTCTTCTCTATTTATTTTTTTTATATATATTTATCTCTCTCTCTCTCCATGTATATTTATATTTTAAAGTCTATGGCACTTGTCCAAATGCCAGGATAGTCTTCCATTTGTACAACAATTTAAGAAACAACAAGTTAGCAACTGCTATGTAATTAAACAAAAAAGCTTTATGGAGAATGATAAGAAAATATGATGAAAATCAAAACACAAATGTTGCTGTACAGAACAGATACACAAGATTTAACAGTAAAAAAAAAAAAGTTTTATTGCTGTTTACCAGATCACACAATAAAGCATGCACATAAAGCCACCCTCAAAAGCTTGATATAAAGAACTTACTTGCTGGTCGCACAAAGACTTTAAGCTTTAGGCATGACCTCCTTCCGTTATCTGGGATTGCAGAAGCTAACAAAGAAAAAGGAGAGAATGAAAGAAAAATAATTTTATATGTTAAAGGCCTTCCTTTTCACGCCTTCCCTTCTAAAAGGAAAAAATATGTTCCAGACCAAATTCAAGATACCCTGATTAAGCAAAAACAGTACAAAAACCTTACAGGGCAGGTGATGGGAGAACTGAAACACAGGATATTTTCAAAGTTTCTTTCTCCACTTTCCCAATATTTTTCCGAAGGGGCTCAATTTAATACCATTTTGTATTCTGGGGGATTATCCTGAAAAATGTAGCTCCAAGTAAAATTATTCTTTTAAGTTTACTAAAGGAAAAGAAAAATCTTGAAGTGCTAGATTTCAGATCAAGTACCATAAAAATGGAAATCAGAATAATACTGTAAGTTATACAAATTCATTCTGGTATTTTTTAAAAAAATATAGTTTTACTAAGGTACCACAAGCTTAAGTTCCTAAACTTGTATGCCAGTGGTGCACGGGTACTTCATTTAGACATTTTACTCATAACCTCACTCCCTGTTCACCACAACTTAACTAACACAGCCCCCATTACTTCATCATTGAGTGCATCATTAGAAAGTTAATGTCCACAACTAAATTATTAAGGCTAAACTAACAGACTTCATAGTGTGCAAAAAATCGTTTGTAGAGGACAATGGTTAGATCCAGTTGCTTTCTCTGGACAAATCCAGGTGTAAATGCTACCTTCCTATAAGAGACTATTTTTTTCTCAAAGTGGATGCGACTACTGACAATTAGCCCACTATCAGCAGAGAAAGTAGATTCCCTGAGGTTAAATTTTCTGCTGATTTTAAAACAACATGGGCACTGGCCTGAATATTTGCAATTTCAAAATGACATGTACACCTGTACTTAAGCACATAAGCTGAGCACATGAATCTCCACTTCTGCAGGACATCCTGTGTGCATACAACCTTATGTGCACTTTTTGTAGCCACAAAAATCAGAGGTCAGGGGTCAAAATGTAGTTTGTAGGCATTATTTCACCGCACAGACTCCACAGTCATTTAAAGAGTTAGGTTTAGAGCAAGTGATTCTGGCTAGGGACAACATTCAAAAAGCCAGAGCTTGAACTGATTCAATCTTTGCAGGTTAGTCTAACCTGCCTAGGCTGAACTGGTTTGTAACAGGCCAAACATTCGCTCTGGACTGAGGCAATGCAGGCACATGTCTGCAGTTGCTCAGGCCACAAGCAGGGACCAGAGCTGGGTCTACTGGGTGGTCCCTTGTTGCTGCAGCACGGGGCACCATGGCCCCTGAGGCAGAGGGGGGCAGGGAAGAGAGTTAGTTTCCTCTCTACCGAGCTGGACTGCCCACCCTCACTGCCATGCTCCCTGCCCACCCCGCCCCCTAGGGGCCCTGCTTGGCCATGTCCCCACCCTGCCACTCCAGCTGGAGGGGGCAGGGCCCTTGTTGGGGAGTGCGAGCCCCTTCCCAGTGGGGGTGCTGTGCTGTGCTGTAGGACCGGCAGAGCTGCGGCAGGCTGCATTCTGCAGCACCAGGGTCCAGAGCAGGCTAGAGCTCTGCAAGCGTGACGGGATGCCGGAGGTCTCTAGTTTATATTAAACAGGAAGGGGTCTGGGACAGACATTGCATAAAGTGGTTTGAGCCAAATCAGTTAAGTCTAATATCCAGTTTCAGCCATTTTTAAACAGGTTTATGCACACTGAATGTCTGTTCTGTTACAGGTTTAAATCAGTTTCTGATCACTTAAGCTGGTTTGTGTGTCATGTCTCTGTGTTCCAGAAAAAAAACAACTATTGGGAGCTGTCTGGATTTACAAATAAATTTGGTGAAAAAGAGTCAGTTTGTTTTTTGTGTCTCACTCTGTCTCACCTGTTTTTATTAACTGTGTCCTCCTCTGTGACAGATAACTAAAATGATTCACATGCACAGACATGAACTCACATGCTCTTTCTCTTTTGCTCTGTGAGGTAAGAGTATACTTGAAGCTCTCAAAAGTAACAAACTCTCTCTTCATTTCTGTCTTCCCTGCTTCCTAAGCTAGCACCAGTCCTGCCATAATAAGAACTAGCAAATTCAATGCACAAAACAGAAGAAAGAAAATAAGAGACAAGTAGAGCTGGTGCTCTGATTCTGCACCTGTTGGGAAATACATGAGAGACTGTTTCCCTCTTTTAATCAAAAGACAAAAAGTGTACAGAAATGATGCTTCCCTCTCCCCCCTTCCCTCACCCATTCACAATGACAAGCAGTTAAGAAGTGCTAACAGCTGGCTTTGCTGTAGGCTCTCACTAAATCAAAGTCGGAAAAACTCCCTCTACTGACATTTACAGTAACTGGTGTGTTATTTTGGGCACAATATTTGCACTCTGTGGTTATATCCAGGAAACTGTGTCCTTTCGATGGCCTCAACTGCATACATACAACTAAGCACTAAACAGGTATTTGTGGATTACTTAAAAACAAGAATGTTATACCTATCACTCCATTACTAATATATGCAATGATAGTGTTCTACAAACACTTCTACTATTGGCTTAATCAGAGACCATAATGCACTTGTGATTCCTCACATACCTCCTGTACAGAAAATGATTTTAGAAACGATAAGCAAGGCACACACGTTCAAGGGTAGGATTTAGTGCCCGAATTTACAGGTTAGGAACTCATGATCATTTTCATAAAATAAGACTATTTATTACTTATTACTACGTATTAGGACACTATTTCTTGTTATGAATTCATTACTCTTATTTGGGAAAAATAAGAAAGTGACACTTTGCACATGCACATGAAATTGACTATTTCCAAAACTGTAATATCTAAGAGTGAAAAGAATCATTAGTTGGCAGGCTGGGTTTTTTAAGAGACCATAACTGTATTTAATCCTCCTTTTCCTAAAAGGAAATGTCCCAGCAGTGCTAACTTGGGCTCAGGAAAAAAACTTTCCATGTCATGAACTGATTGCCATCCCCATAATAAAAATGAAATTGTTACAATATAACATTAAATTCCATATCTTAGAAACAGATATATGCTTTGATGCAGGCAGGAGAGAAGAGCCTCTGTCCCCCACAGGAAATTATTTATTTTTATGCTTACAGTAAAACAAATGAAGAAAACTCCTCACTCCCCACAGAGTTTTACTCTTTCAAAAAGAAAAGAAAAAAAAAATCAAGCAAGTCGCTGTTTTGCTTTCATATCTGCCTGAACCACTAAGAACAAGGTGATGAAGGAAAACATAGTAACCTCTCTGGCCTTTCTGAGAAATTAAGAACTGCCTGCTGAGCTGGGTTACTGCAATCAATTTTTATTTCTTCCCTTCCCTCTTTTCATCTTAAAACAACACTGATCTGTTGGTGTTCACTGTAGGTCCTGATGTATAAATCCACAGGGCATGTTCAGGGTGCCTCCTAGCATCTGCCCCCTTTATACATACTGCAGCAGGGTTATCAATACCAGTCTATCCTTCAAGCCCTGTGTCTTCCTCCTCACTTTGAAATGGTTTTATCATTCATCCTACCCAAACGGTTGTGATCATCTTGCGTTCTGATGAAAGATTAAAACTCAGGGTTGAGATAATAACACGTGAGGTTTGGGAGATTTTGTGGTGTTGCTGAGTTGCCTCTGGTTCTTTCCTCTCTGACCAGTGAACACTAGATATATATATGACTGACTTTGTTTTGAATGGGAATACTGCTTAGGATTGAGATAGACTTTAGCTAATGCATGTTAGCTAATACTGATTTAAACTCAGTCTGTTTTATCATGCAGACGTTAATATGATGTACAAGTTCTCAACCTTTTTATAGACTCGGCATCCTTCCATAATTGTTTTTTTTAATTAAGTGGCACCCCATTTAAAAAACTAACTTATTACAGGGCTTACCTCTTTGCAAAGGGGCCAGAAAGTGGGAGCAAGGGAATGATTAGGCAGGGAAGAATATGGACCTTCACTTATCTCCTCTCATCCCACATCACCCTTCAAAGGATCTTGTGGCACCTCAGGGTGTCCTGGCACCCTGGCTCAAAAATCACTGGTACAATGCCTTAAAAATCAATTTAGCTGGTTGAGTTGTGGCCTAGACTTGCATTCGGCTCTTTGAAGGTAGCTTTCATGCGTGCTTGTAGCTTTACATTGTGAAACCCTAAGTCCTCAGGGTGTTTTTTAAGTAGGCAGTGCGTACCATAACTGCAACGAAACATTTAAGAGAAAGATGGTCAAAGACTGCAGCAGAGGAGAATAAGGTGCATGATGCATAGTGCGGACATTAAAACCTAAGGAAGCTCTTTCTGAGAGAAGGAATAATGTTTCACTGACGATCCCAATGAAGACAGAATCTTGGAAGGCTCAGTAAGCCACGAGTTTACACTACCCCTAAGCTGCAGACAGAAGTGATCAAGAAGAATCAAAGAACCTCCTTGCATCAACCTGAATGTGTTGGAACTTACAGAAAGAACAGTGCCTAGTCTTTGCATCTTTTCTCAGACCACTTAGTTTTTTTGGAGAAAGTGGAAAAAAAGGGCAGCCAACACTGACAAACAGTAAAAAGATTTGAATGCATATTCATGAATAGCCACTGATTGAACAAAACTTGTGACCTTTGTAAAAAGAGAAAAACTAATAAAAGGAAATAATTTGGCTGAGGTCTGTCAAAGATCTTCCGAATAAGATTCCAAGTAAGAATTTATGGTTTCTTCGATTCTAGTGAAATTCACTGTGTTACTAAAAATGTTTCTTTTCTGGCCAAACAGAATGAGGCTGGTTTTCATGTCTTTTCCATGCTTTTACTAGGGAAAATCAGAGACCAGTTTGAGTGCAAGTAGTCTATGATGGTTACTTTTGCTAAAGAAATGAATTCCAAAAGACACAATTCCTGGATTTAAAAAGAACAATAAAGGAAACCTTAATGTGCAGGAAACGGTCTGTTCAAAAATGATCTCAGAAAGAAACAGGAACAGAAGTTGTTCTTTTCTACGAAGGGGGAGAGAATGGTAAAAGCCTAGATGTTC